GATGTACAGATACGGACACATTTGTAAAACAATCAGCAGCGCGAACGGTGATTTCGGTGAGCTTGCGTGCATCTGCGGCAGCGAGCGTGTGTCCCGTGAGCGGTAGGCACAGCACAGGCGATGGCCGTGCCCAGCACGGGACCCCCCGCGCCCGCGGAGCCGCTCCGCAGGCCGGGCTGCGCGGCCGCGCCGGGCCCCGGCCGGGCCTCTCTGCGTTCCCTGGCCTCTCCCCGGCAGAAAAGCCCCGCTCAGCAGGGAATCGCCGGCCACCTTTTGAGGAAGCTGTGTCGGTTCCCGCGGGACCGCCGCGCTGCCCGCGGTGAGCGAGCTCTCCTGTCGCGGTGCCCGGCGCACACGTGTGCGTCCCAGCCACGGGCGGGCACAGCCGTGCGCGGCTTCGCAGGCGTGCTGAGAGTGCGAACGGGGTGCGTGTGTGTGCAAATGCAGACGTAAACTTTGAAATGGTGATGCACGGTGTGCCTGGTACCTGCACAGCCTCCTTCGTGGGAGTATCGCTCACGAATTCCTTTCCCTCTGAGCTCCAGCGGCAGAGCGCACAAGGGTTCTTTCAGCGTCTGGTCGCTTGAAATACTTTGCCCTTTCCAGAGGGGATCTCCTTCCCCGTCCTGCCTGCTGGAAGCGGGCTTTGCAGCGGGGCTCTGGCTCCACTCCGGCCGGGCCGGGGCTCCTGCGGCCCCGGGCGTGCGGCGGGGCTCCTGCGCGCCCGCCGGCCCGGCCCGGTCCGCGGCCCGGCTCGCTGCTCGCTCCCTTTAAAAGTTGCTGCGAGAGGAGCAAGGGTTCTGGACACAGGAAAACTCACGAAGTCAGAGACGTTTACCAGCGTGGCCAGAAAAGCAGTAAATAAAAGATTCGATGCTCCGTGCATCAGCCCAGGCAGGGACTGCTGCTTCCTCACGGCTAAAAGATGGGCGATAACCAGACGAGGCCAGCGAGGAGCGGGTGTCCCCATTTCAAACAGTGTCTGGACTAAAGAAGCTAACTTTGCCTTCTGAATGCCGGACCCGCCTTTTAATAAATTCAAGCGATCACTCACAAACCATTAAAGCGACCTGAAAGGCGAGTCTTTCGCGGGGGAAGTGGAATCGACTGATTATTGTTTTGCATTTAACTTTCTGCGTGCAAACGGCACAAGCGCGGCCGGGGGTTGCCACCCCAGAGGGACCAGCACACACAGCCCTCCACACACCCACCCGAACAGCCTCCTGCACTCTCTCCAGCCGGCACTGCCGTCCCGCTTTGGGTATGTTCAAACACTCCCCCGCGGCGGCGGAGCCTCCGCGGGTGCGGGAGACGGCGGACGGCAGATATCGGACCTCAGCGTTTTGCCTGCCCCGGACCAGGCAGCGCGGAGTAGCGCGGGGCTGTCCTCACGGCCTGCCGTGCCTCCGAAATCTACTTTTCCCACGAAGGAAAAGTACAGCGACAGCATCTCCAGAGCCAGACATCAGAAAGAAAATTATGGCCCCCGTTGAGGCTGGAGAACTGGGCTCAGTGTTTCTCCTCGCAAGCCTTCGTGACTAAATCCGCAAAGGGAGCCTTGCTAGAGGAAAGTTGACTTTAGAGACTAAAACAGCGCAGAAACCACCGAGAGAAACCTCACAACCTCTCTGCCTCAAAAAACACCTCTCTCTCTGACGGGGATTTCAAAGCACTGCTCCCCTCTCCAGAGCCAAGCGAATAGCACAAGCATCAGCATGGCGTGGACTTGAATTCAGCATTAACAATTCCAGCCCCAGTGATCGTCGCTAATTCAGAACATACACGGGATGGAGATTAACCAACACCGCACAGTTCCCCCTCATCCCAAATAAAAAACCTACAACAGCAACAACAACACTAGAATCATCCTTTCTGTTGTAGGACGCTCAAACAAACGTCAGACTGAAAGTTTAAAAGAATACTCATTAGCCAAGTGTTCCAATACACACAAGTAACAGATCTGTGTTAAGCGACCACTAGGGACTGTACACAAGTTCAAAGAAACTTGCAATACACATCTTTAAAATATCTCACCCTCACCACGTTTCTCCGGGTTTACTTTACAGATGGGTGACTCAGACGAGCTCAACGATTCTTTTTTTCTTAGATACGCTCAAGTTACATTTTTTATAACCGATGTCCGGTAAAGTTGCCGAGAGAGTTACCCTGAAAGATTCGCAAAAAGCAACATTTTCGGCGCACGAAACACTTTTTTCCCCGGCTCTTTTGCCCGGTGGGCTACATTTCTTCAATTCCTAACACTTTCTGCCCCGGTCCCGCCGGGCTCCAACTTTTCCTATCTCGCCAAACCCTGCAAGGTGGCGCTCTTTTCACTGAAAACTGATATTAGCCTTATAATAATAACATTTTGTAAAAAGTAAAGTTAAAGCGAAGCCTTCCCACGGGTGCTGCAGGGAGCAGGCAGCGATGCCGAACTGGCAGGAGTGGGGCTTAGGATGAGCAAGACAAACTCTTTTT